ACCCCTTCTGACAACCAGAGCAACCATTTATTTAGGTACATGGAATGCTCGCACTATGTGGAAGACTGGGAGAGTTTTCCAAATTGCTTCAGAAATGAGGAGATACAATTTAGAGGTGCTTGGGATCAGTGAAACACATTGGACGCAAGTTGGACAACAACGACTAGCTTCAGGGGAGCTGCTGTTATACTCCGGACATGAAGAAGAAAATGCCCCACATACGCAAGGAGTTGCATTGATGCTATCCAAACAAGCACAAAATGCACTTATAGGATGGGAATCTCATGCACCAAGAATCATCAAAGCCTCCTTTAAAACAAAAAAAGAAGGCATTTCAATGAACGCCATCCAATGCTATGCGTCTACCGACGACTACAATGAAGACTTACTTACTTACTTACTTACTTACGCCTGTTACTCCCAATGGAGCATAGGCCGCCGACCAGCATTCTCCAACCCACTCTGTCCTAGGCCTTCTTTTCAAGTTCCATCCAATTCTTGTTCATTTTTCTCATATCTATCTCCATTTCTCGGCGTAATGTATTCTTTGGTCTTCCTCTCCTACTTCGACCTTGAGGATTCCATATGAGGGCTTGTCTTGTGACGCAGTTCGGTGCTTTCTTCAATGTGTGTCCTATCCACTTCCAGCGCTTCTTCCTGATTTCTTCCTCCACTGGGATATGATTTGTTCTCTCCCACAGTAGGTGGTTGCTTATAGTGTCCGGCCAGCGGATCTGAAGTATTTTGCGTAGACAACTGTTAATAAACACCTGTATCTTTTGGACGATGGATTTCGTAGTTCTTCAGGTTTCCGCCCCATACAGTAGAACTGTCTTGACATTTGTATTGAAAATTCTGACTTTGGTGTTGGTTGCTAATTGTTTTGAGTTCCAGATATTCTTCAGTTGTGAATATGCTGCTCTTGCTTTGCCGATCCGTGCCTTCACATCTGCATCAGATCCACCGTGTTCATCGATGATACTGCCCAAATATGTAAAGGTTTTTACATCTTCCAAAGCTTCTCCGTCAATTGTGATTGGATTGGTACATGTTGTGTTGTATCGAAGAATCTTGCTTTGCATCAGAACTGACAAACGTAAATATGTGGAAGATTTGGCATTGACGTCGGAAAAGGCTGCAAAAGAAATAAATATGAGACAACTGTATGACACAACAAAGAAACTCTCTGGAAATCACCGTAAACCAGAACGACCAGTGAAAAGCAAGGAAGGCAAGGTAATCACCGACATTGAAGAACAACGAAACAGGTGGCTAGAACACTTCAAAGAACTCTTGAATCGACCAGTCTCACTGAACTCACGCAAAATCGAGGCAGCACTCACGAACCACCCAGTCGATGTTGGCTCACCAACAATTGAAGAAATCAGCATGGCCATCAGAAAAATCAAGTGTGGCAAAGCAGCAGGACCAGACAACATTCCAGCAGAGGCACTGAAAGCAGACGTGGCGGTAACTGAAAGAATACTCCACATTCTCTTCAGCAAGATTTGGGATGAAGAACAAGTATCAACAGACTGGAAAAAAGGACTTCTGGTCAAAATACCAAAGAAAGGCGATCTCAGCAACTGTGATAACTACAGGGGAATCACTCTTCTTTCAATACCAGGAAAAGTCTTCAACAGGGTATTGTTAAACAGGATGAAGGACTGCGTAGACGCCCAACTTTGAGACCGACAGGCAGGATTCCGAAAGGATAGATCGTGTACAGACTAAATCGCAACTCTACGGATCACTGTGGAACAATCAATTGAATGGAATTCATCGCTCTACATCAACTTCATTGACTACAAAAAAGCATTTGACAGAGTGGACATAACAACACTTTGGAGGCTTATTCGACACTACGGCGTGCCTCATATCATACAGAATTCCTATGATGGATTAAACTGCTGAACCGTTCATGGAGGACAGTTGACAAAGTCGTTCGAAGTAAAGACCTGTGTCAGGCAAGGTTGCTCACTCTCCCTCTTTCTCTTTCTCCTGGTGATCGACTGGATTATGCAGACGTCAACATCTGAAGGGAAGCACGGGATACAGTGGACAACTAGGATGTAGTTGGACGATCTAGACTTCGCAGATGGTCTGGCTCTTCTATCGCAAACGCAACAACAAATGCAGGTGAAGAAGACCAGTGTAACAACAGCCTCAGAAGTAGTAGGTCTCAATATACACAAAGGGAAAAGCAAGATTCTCCGATACAACACAACATGCACCAATTCAATCACAATTGATTCAGAAGATTTGGAAGCAGAATCATTGATAAACACGGCGAATCTGATGCAGATGTGACGGCACGGATCGGCAAAGCAAGAGCAGCATATTCACAACTGAAGAATATCTGGAACTCAAAACAATTAGCAACCAACACCAAAGTCAGAATTTTCAATACAAATGTCAAGACAGTTCTACTGTATGGGGCGGAAACCTGAAGAACTACGAAATCCATCGTCCAAAAGATACAGGTGTTTATTAACAGTTGTCTACGCAAAATACTTCAGATCCGCTGGCCGGACACTATAAGCAACCACCTACTGTGGGAGAGAACAAATCATATCCCAGTGGAGGAAGAAATCAGGAAGAAGCGCTGGAAGTGGATAGGACACACAATGAGGAAAGCACCCAGCTGGGTCACAAGGCAAGCTCTCACATAGAATCTTCAAGGCCAAAAGAAAAGAGGAAGACCAAAGAACACATTACGCTGGGAAATGGAGATAGACATGAGAAAAATGAACAGTAATTGGATGGGACCAGAAAAGAAGGCCCAGGACAGAATGGGTTGGAGAATACTGGACTGCGGCCTACGCTTCTTTAGGAGTGACAGGAGTAAGTAAGTAAGGAATGTACGTTTCAATGTTTTCGTGTTCGTTATATTATTGAATGGCACCAAGTAAGTTTCTTATAGTAAATACCGAAAAGTAGTCAGTTTGCTCTAATGACAATGTAATGCTGTTGGGTAATGTACTGAGCATTAAACATCACGAAACGTTAATCCATAAGATAACTGCTTATTACGATGTATATTCAAAATTGAACGTCGAGATGCCATTTTATCTAATGTTTTCCAACAAAGACCTGGTTTTTCACAACTTTTCCGTCCTTTTTCGATTTATATATATCTAACTTCTCCGTAATTAACATAAAACTTTAATGAAATTCCAATAATAATAATAATAATAATAATAATAATGAATTTTTCCTTTTCTATTAAAAATCATGGTAAACAGCAAATAAAATTGTAACTTTTAACAATCAGTACTACTTCGAAAATTTTAGCCAGTGCCGAAAATCGGAACAGTTACGAGTGAAACAAAACATTCAATGTGTATTAGTGTACTGTAATTTGTCTATCATTCAGTGTTTACTATTTTAATAATCAAATATAGAATTTTGCTTCTCAGTAGTTACATCATTTTTTATGCGTTGTGGATTTCAAATTTTGCTACATTGGAAAAAACTAGTGGATAAATATTAATTAGCACAAATTTCGGTTAATGATGTTCGGCAGTTATAGTCATTGTTACCATTAAACTGAAGTAACTAGTAACAGACTTTGATACAAAGAAATAAATGATTTAGAATTACTTTATCTAAAATACATACTTACTTTGTTACAAAAATAATAATCTAACTCAGACAGTATTCTGATGTAACACTGGGTATTTCTTCATTATTCAAATAAGAAAGTATGAAAATAAAACATAGTTCTGTAGACTTTCAGTTTATAGAATCTAATATTTCTCAGGTGTTTTGTAATGCGATAGCAGTCCATAAGAATGTAATGAGCTATCATCAGCACAAAGTTTGTGTTGATGATGTCGTTCAGAATAATGACGAAACCTCCACGACCAAACTCCACCATCTCAGCTACAAATCTCCTTCACCATCTCATTATCCTCTATGAGAATACAGAATTTCGGGTTATATTTATAACAGCAATCATATGTACTCACTCATACTGAGATTAAGATAAATATTTTACCAGCCATGTTCGTTCAGATATCGTCATACAAATATCTCCGTAGATAGATTAAAATAGTACTCCAACTGCTAAATTGTAAGAAAAAGAAGGATTTCACTTATGAATGAAAATGGACAGGTCACTGGCTTTAGTTGCACAAAATAGACTAAAATGATCGATTTTTAACAGTTTTACACCAAACACTACAAAATCATATACTCTTGTTCATATTCAAGACTTGTTGTGCCTTTGGTAGACAACATGTAGATAAAGTTTTAAAATAAAATACTAAGGTTAACTTTGAATGTTATTATTTAAATTTGTCAGGACTGAAATCTGATTTCCCTACTTTGAATAAAATCAAGATGTAGATTGTGTGATATTATTGAAGTACAATTAATTTCGACGTTTTGAAACATCATAAAATCTTATATTGGTCTTTCATTGAACTTCCTAAATAACAAATGTTACCAAGAATATAAAAAACTGTAGGTCCCACAGGAATGAACTTTAAAACATTTAACAGGTCTTCTAAAGTTCACTATCAAAAAAACTTTGGAAAAGTTACCTACTCTTAAAGCTCACATATTTTCGGAACAATGCAACGTAACTTATACAAACGAAATAATGTAGCTTCACAATAAGACGTGAATAAAACATATATATATATATATTCTTGATATAGAAATAAACAAGAATCTAAATGTCTTGGGGTAATATATTAATAAAATACAGATTAACGAAAATATCAAATAACATCAAAATAGCTGACGCTGAAACCACTGGATAATTGCTACTGTACAGACAAATTACCATCTCATTCATCTGTTTCAATCAGGAGAACCGGTTGTAAAAACATCATACCCTTATGCTAAATCTTACCATTAATGATTTTTAACCTCCGAATCATAAATCTTTGTCAATAAGACTTCTTAACCATAAGCACTAGTTTCTTTAAATTTGTATCTGAGTATTCCTAATACTCATATTTAGCCTAATCATCATCTTTTTTTTTCTTTAGTGAAATTGAAAGTTTTCATTGAATGTCGTCGTGACTGTTCAACTAAATGTAATCATAGTCTGTTTGTTTATCTAGCTAATGAAGTAAGTAATATTTATGATATTTGAAATCAATGTATTGATTATATTGGGTAGCATAACTAATGTTTTTTATGGAATCTTTCTGCAACTTCAATGTTAACCATTCATTAGTGATATATGTATTTCCAATTTTAATGCTTATGCTTATAAATGTGCCATTATCATTCAATTAATTACATTGGGAAAAATTACACAACATATCACTTGAAAATAAAAAAAAATTTGAACGAAGAAGCCGAAAACAATTTTGAAACAAACAACAAAAATGAAATTCCACCTTTCTTTTATTACCTTAGCATGATAGAAAAAATATCTAATGTTTTCTCAGGAAAATGGATTAAAATGTAACTAATAAAATGTAGTCATTTCTTCTTCCAACGTACATGCAAATTTGTAGTTATATGCAGAATGTGAATGTTTTATGTTATATTTACTAGCGTGTAAAACAATGTACACTGTGTGTATTAGTCTTAAAGTGAATCACTTGCATTATTCTTTTAATTTTATTCCAGTATTCTACATAAATAAATATTTTGTGATTTTGTTATATGGTTGGAAATATTTATGATCATAAACTTTACATTGAACGAATAATTTGAAAGTATCTTACCAGCAGAAGACAGACACGGTTCCATCACTTGTTCACATAAATAAAGTGAGTATTTACAGAAACAACTTCAATGTTGAGATTAATACTTATTAGACAGAGACGGTAGAGAAGACCTTTAGCTCAAGTGGATGGTGCTCGTAGACTTTCATTCTCTGAGCTAGATGATTTAATCATGAAGTTTTCATTATTCTTCTGAATAAGATCATCAACACAGACTACAGATAGAAATGAGGTATTCGAATCCCTCCTCACGTGGCTAACTGTCACTTCCAATTTCATTCAGTGACATTTCTAAAAAAACTTTGATTTTTTACTTTCACCAACAGAATTATATTTATGTGTGGCAAATTGGATAGTAAAACTTTCTTAAATCATATTGCGAATAAGCTATAGATTTTATTTACAAAAATAAAGTATTGTTTTAGTATTCTGTTTGTTTTCTTGACTATTTTTCACATTTGGAACTTCCAGGTATTTTATAAATGAAACGGATCGTTTTTTTAAGTATTGATCATTAAATCTATTGACTGGTTTCTTAATATCAGAAAATAAGTATCTTTTTTGGTAATAAGATGACGAAACGACTTAAGTTATTGTTTATCCTGTTCATTAACACTGAAACTAGTGTTTTAAAATTTTATCCTATCTATCTATGTCCAACGGCATCCTCTGTACACGTCAATCATGAAAATGATTTTAGGATAAGTAACACTTGGAAGATAATTCATACATATTTTAAATACATGTATCCAGATGAATAACTAAGTGAGAACTAAAACATTTTTTTTGAGCTTTCACCATATATGTATGTTATTTGCTTCATCCTTACATTCATTGTAAAAATAAACTAAACGCAATAAAAGTTTCCCACTTTTGACTCACATCTTTCATACTCTATTTAATTCTTCTCACATCATCATTATCTATAACAGCAAGTAGTTATCCTAAACTTTCTTTGACTTTAAGAAAAGAACAAATTTTAGTGCTTTAGCTGTTTATCTGTACTCCGTACATTTCCTGATTGCCTTAGTGAAAATGGCTGGAATATACTCTCACGCTTCTTAATTACAAAACAAAGGTAATCTCTCTTCTTATTTGTCATTAATCATCAAAAATTTCCATTTCTTACTGGAAATGTTTTATTTATTCTATAGAAAATAACCTGGTAAGTCTTATCTCTATTTCTCGCACAATATAGAATTAAGTAATCACTGAATAAAAGTGTCTACTATTTCCAATACTTTCACCTCGGGCTCAATATTGTAAATGAAATACAACGACTTTGTTCAAAGAATGAAACTTTTTTTTGAATATTTCCTTATAGATCTGAATTAGATTACTAGATCACAATATATGAAGTTTTGACCATAAACATAAATAAACATTTGATTTTATTGTAAACTGATTAGATTTCTTGCTGATATTTACAATTTTCGTCTGCCGAACCTGTGGAGGACAGGAGGTTACCATGACTGTGTTAAGAGTATGTACTTCTGATTAATTTCCGTAAAATTTCTTCATCAAAATCTGTATTAATGAAGCTCAATTATGTACTCAAAATAGTCCTAAACATTTCGCTGACACTGACAATTACACTAACATGAATTTCCCTAAACTAATAAATTATAATGAGTAGTATTGCCTTTTTGCACTAATTATTTTTTAATTTTATTTTTTTACTCATAGAATGAATGTTACACTTGTTTGATTGAGTGTATGTCTGCGTTTACACAACAAGCAGAGAAAGTTGGAGTAAGTCAAATTTTTTCAGAATTATTAGTAACTATTTAAAATACATGGGCAGTTAAGATAAATATTCGTAGTTCCCAATCTTGATCTGATCCTATCGAACAGATGGGCTAATTAGTCACTAAGCTGAGTAGTTATACACTGAACTAACCTTTCGGTATGATGGATTATGAATTAAATGTGATAGACAGTAATTCCATAAGAGAGTAAATGGTTCATAGCATTTTAACAAATAAAATCAGCTCACTTATCAAATCCTTCTCCATTGTAGCTTTAGTGTTAAAAAGATGAATGCAGTTGGTGTGAACCTTAATGTTCAGATTTCGTGTTGGAAGTGAAAACACTAATCGAGTACTTAACCTAATGATCGTTGATTAGTAAGATTTGATAAATACTAAGTTCATTTGTTATCAATAATTGATAGGCTAATCGATCGGTTAAGTATAATTAAGTTAGTTAATTAGGAAGTCTTTTGCTAATCGAATAGATTAATTACGTCGTCTGTGACTGTGAAACTAGATTATATGAGATTCTAAATCAACTGGGAGTATCAATCTCTGAAGAATTTTACGTATCCCTTGTTAATGATGACCAGTTAACATGGGAACTTTGTAACAGTTGCCTTTGACCATTCAAACATATGAAAGCAGTGCTTTGAAAAATCCCACCATTTACCAGTTATATAAGTAGTCGTTTGTTAGTAAAGTAAGTATAATTCCAACTTACTATGAGTTTAAAATTAATTTTCAGCTTTCAAAGACTACATACTTATTCAGTTTACTTTATCAAACCATTATATTATTAAAGAAAAGCCTTAAAATGAATAATATTTGAAAAATGACACGAAATAATCATGTTCTACACTAAATATGAAGAGTGTAAGGTTAACTACAAAGAAAAGAAAATAATGAACCACTAATTTCTAAAGTCAATGAGTACAGATAATAAATACTTTGTCCAATGAATAATTAGATCCAAATAAAAAGGTTTAAAAATGATTTGATTATTTATAATATGGAATTATGTAACTGTGTTCAAAAGTTTTGATTTTATACAGAGAACTATTAGCCTCAGAAGCCTTACTGACAATAAGTGAAACAAACAGAAGGGAAAGAATACGTTTCCATTCAATTAAGCATGAGTGTTCACGTGTATTTATGCTCTACACATGAGAGTGGAAAATGTTAGTTTAGTACATTTCTTCAAAATCTACTCATATAGGCGCATAAAAAGATTGATAATATGTAGATAACTAATAATATTTGGATTAAATGAACAAAATAAATGACAAATCAGTGGACAATGAGTTATTGACAAATCGTTTGAGAAGTACTAGATGATAATGCATTTACTTATGAATAAAATCTAATATATCTCGATGAATCCATAGCTGACATAAGAAATCTTATATAGAAATTTGTTTTCGTCTTCTAAACAAGTTTGGATCAGATAAAAAACATTTACAATGATCTAAATAAACTTAAAGCTTAAATATTCATAGAACATAAGTAATAATTAAGGCTTCTTTAATGTATATATGATGACTGAATATTGAAATTTACCTTATTATCAAAGTGTTTATTTAGTTACTATATGTTCATTAAATAGTTATATAGTAATGTAATAAATAAACTTATAAATCACAATTGAATGAACGAAGAATATTCTTTTCAATAATTTCTCATCAGGTTCTACAATTAGAAATCCAAATTAATAATCCATAGAATTGGTCAGATTTAAGGCAGAGTACATCATTTGGAATTTGTGATATGTAAATCAAGAATTGTTATTTGTTATATAAAATCAAATCAGATTGTTAATGTTGGAGCTAGCTGACTAATATGAAGTGTTAACTTGAATCAGTTTATAAGTGAAATGAAATTGTGCGATAAATAATCAGAATAAATATAGTCAACATGGGGTGAGAGAAAAAATTTTGGGATAAAAATCGGAAATTACATAATATGTGAATTAGGTCAGATATAGTAGATTTAGGGGTGGATATTGAATAAATTCCTCAAAACGGTTATCAAATGTGATGATAATAATAATAATAATAACAATGATAATCACAGTCGTAAAGATAATAATAATAACAACAATAATAACAATAATAATAATAAGTTTGGGACATAAAATGAAGATTAATCAAATTACGTCACCATATTATAAAATTGATTATTAACTAGTTGGCCCTAAAGTTGGCCAATTTTATGGATTATTAATTTGGATATGTGTTAATTGTAGAACCTGATGAGAAATTATTGAAAAGAATATTCTTCGTTCATACAATTGTGTTTTAATATAATGGGAATATTTCAGAGATTAAAAACTTATAAATACCAATTATCCATCTATTCATTTGTATATTAAATCAATAGGAATAAAGTCAATGTTTTATGTAGTGAGCTAGCAAGTTAATTGTCTTCTTTACCTTATTACAATATGGATAGAAACAGATCCATACATATTCCGCTTTATGACGTAGCTGGTAGAAATTAAACACGTCTGAGATCTACACTTGAAGATAATCTATGATTATGCAGATTTTTTTTATCGCTGTAAATGTAATGTATATATACAATATAGGCTGATCATTTATTCACCAGTTCAAAAATTGACCTCGGAAAATTCACAGACAGTTGGTTTAACTTATATCTAGTGTAATGCGTCTCACCTAGAGGCTAGAAAATAATAAATATAAGTCTGCAAAAGCGAAAAATAAGGATTTAATATCATGTACGCTAACCAATATAATCTAGTTATTAACTTGTCCATTATCTTGTTATCAAAAGAAGCACCTACCATAAACAACCACAGTACATAATAATGGTAAGCATAAATCAGTTATAATGGTATTATTGATCCAAATAACAATTAGCAAACTTATGTTTTAAATTACTTGAAAGTGTAGTTAAACCACTAGTTTATCTATTTTATTTCTTGATAAAGCTTAGAAATTATGCCATCAATATCGTTCTTTTGAAAACTAGATATTCTAGTGTTATTACGTTTCTTTTTAATTAGGAATGATGCAATGTTTTTGAGAGTATCATATGCTTACATCAGTGTTACTTCTCGACTTAATGGACAGAATCAATTCTGAAACAAACTGGTGAAATACCATTCAGCAAAACCTGTTGTAATTCGTCAAATATACAACAAAATCCCTCATAAGCCAAAGAGATTACATATGGTTTCATCCTAGTTACTGTAGATAAGTATAACTATGTCACTTCTCAGTTATTTATTAATTTAGTTTTATTTCACAAGTGTAAAAGCTTTAACAGCTTGTTATTCAATTTACTTTTTGTAGTAATATAACTACCTATATGGAGCGAAATAAACAAAAAAAGTAGTTAAATATTTTTTCAAAAATTAGTACATTATCTAGTCATCTAAATGCTAATCTGGTAAAATTAAGAACAGTGGATTTCTTACACTAACAATTTGAAAGTTGATTTCAGAAATTTACTTTAACCAAATTTGCTCTGTACTACTCATCATTGACTCAAATTCACCGATCAAGATATCCACTTTCTTATTTGGATAAATTGAAAGGGATCGTTTATTAAACAGTATGTGTTCAGGGTCAACCACCAAAGAGCCAATACAAGGGATTTCTACCTATCACATCTGGTCGACCAGACGAAACATTTGATTATTTCTGTACAGTGACATACATAAATTTATCTAGGATATCCAAGCTGTAACCAGAAGATTCAAATTTTGGATTTCCCAGCAGAATTTTTTAATTGACAGTGAATCCAGGTTCACTGATTATTTTAACCAGATTCTGAGTGGCTGAAATTTGTGTATTTTAACCTCTTTTCTTTAATACACTTACCACATAACTTATACTTTGATCTTATACACTTACAGATTCAATTAAAGGATATAAAGAAATCAAACGATGCTAATTTATTATCTGATAGTTTATATGCACCTGGAAAGAAAGTAAGACGTCGTCATCTTCGTCAAGACCATATCACACAAGAACAATTTAGAAAAAGATCAGAATGATAACTACAGATTAGTAAAATTAATATTCTTAATGCCCGTCTAAGATCATAAAACTGAAATAGTGACCATAACTTATGACATTGGATGAATAAACATAAACCAACGATATATTATAACTACCATTATTATCTAACTTTGTAATAATAATAATAATAATAATAATAATAATAATAATAAGAGTAATAATAAAATGATGTTCTTGTAAAATTTTACATCACATTTTTTATTTCATTTGTTCACTCTCATCATCATTTTAGTCAACATCTTTTTATTTCAGTAATTATCATTAACAATCGTTCTTAAAAGCACTTCTCCCATTTCTTGATTTATGTTCAATTAATACAATTATAAATCATCGAAAATGAACTTTTTTCATATTTCTTTTGTGAATTGATATAGTAAACGGAATACACTCATTGAGACATTAAATAAGAAAGATTAGTTCAACAAAGAGTTCTCTTTTCGGCGAATTGATTTTCAAAGATGTACAATCGCAAATATATATGCTTATTTTTACAGGATGATAATAATACTGATAATAAACTTGTTATACATGGTGACAGTGAGGTTAAATAAACAAAGGTATTAAGAAAATTTTTTTAAAAACAAGGAAAGTTTAATAATCGTTTGATTGTTAATGACATAAGTATTCATCAAAAGACAGATAGGGAAATTATCATTGGGAAAGGATGGTTTAGCATGATAAAATGTTGAAATTGAGATGAAATGTAAGCGGAATGATCATGGAAATAAAAACAAACCAGTTGAGAGTAGAAGATTTAAGGGGAAGGTGGAAGGTAAAGCAGATGGCTGTAAAGGAACAAGAGAAAAATTTTAATACATCAAGACCATGGTAGAAGAAGAGGTTGTACCAGTCTCTTTTGCACACACAATTCTGGTTTTTCCAGATGTATGGTTATTGCTTCGGCATTGCAAAGAAGATGTAGTCTAATTGCCTTGAGAAGACTTCTACTAACCTTGTAGATGACTTTGAATGCAGAGTCTGTATTGATTGAGTGACCTGTGTTCACAAGGTGTTCGATTATAGAACTTCTTGTTGATCAGTTGCCTCCTCTTTTTAGCCACACCGGACAATGTTCTTAAATTTTTTGGATAAAAAACGCATCGAACGACCTATATACCTAGCTACACAAGAGCAGGTAAATTAGTAAATGCACATTGAGTTGGTCAGATGCGATAGTTTATCTTTCAGATTATTGGTGAACAATGATCGGATGGAGAATAATATTCGCAATGTTGCTGCGAAGAATGTTCTTTTTAAGGAATCCGAAATTCTCCGCTTTAAAATATATGTGGCTCTATCACCTTTGAAGTCAATGTTCATGTTTTTTCTACTGTAATTATTTGCGTTTTTGGCGTTCTCAGCCTCATGTTCTTATAAATGAATATCGAAGGATATCCGTTTTTGATAAGTATCTCCTTTAAAAAGCTCAATTCTTCATTTACGACTTCGGGGCTACAGATTATTCGTATTCTTGTAGCGAGTGTTGTTATTAAGTTTCTTTTTCCGCTGACGGTATAGTAACGAAACTTCTTTAATTTTTCATTGAAAATTTATCAATATATCACATTATTACAAAAATCTGTACTGACCAGTTCCAGTAAAAGAGTTGTTGGTTTGCAGGAAAATCTTTGTCTCGGTGTAATACTTCAATAGTGTTCGTATCTGATACATTTCAAACTAAAACTAGAGATTCCCATGCTGCTAGTTCTGAATTCAATAGTCTTCATTTTACAAACATAACTAATTGAATGACATAATCATTTTACAGTAGATAAAAAGCATGTACTTCCGTGTTATAGTTGAGTGGTGCACAGTTGTAAAGCACAAAATATCCTATCACTTTGAAAAAGATTAAGGATTTCAATATTAATATAATGGTGACTTATGTACTATTGGCTTGCGAATATTAAAAAAAATTATTCAGAGGTATACATCTTAGTTATTTTACATATATCAGGTACCGATTGATATATCTTAAGTATTATATCTCACTTGTGGATCTATGATTGCATTATTTAAAAGAAAAACATTGACTAATTAGTCTTTTCTGAATTTTAATCTCAGTAAGCTTTTGGAAATTTTACACTCGGTCTTCTAGTCTTCAGGTTTTCTATTTTCAACATGAGTAAATATCCGTGCTTGTTTAAGCTTAAAGTTGATACATCCTAAAAACGTAATGAAATATTTAAGCTTTGTCCATGGTATGGGAGTGAAATACACAAAAAGTTTACAATTGCCAACTTTATGGATATGCAGATGTTTGATATGAGGAAATTTTCAGGCTTTATCAGTCTCAGAAACCATCATTTTTTATTGTTTTTAAAGAGTGTGAATGGTCACGATTAAACTGAAACTGTGAGTTGATTGTCTGAAGTGTTTTGAAAGTAGAAAATAGTTTCGATGAAACATGTTATCTAGAGATACTTTTGGGCCATGAGTATGCAGATGAAATTACTTTCATGGTGAGAATGTGTATATATGGTTACCTGTGTAGGTTGGAATCACTGTGATAGACCTCGTAAGTCTCCATGAAATAACAGACTCAGTAGTTTAAATTACATTAGGTCACCCGTAGTAATGATAAAGCTTTTCACTGATTACAAACAGCTGCTGTTCGGCAGCCACGTTACAAATAAGCAAAATTTGGCTTTTCGACCTAATGATACTAAATCATTAATCGTGTTTAGTCACTGCTGTTGCTTAATTTGATGGTGACCCTTTTTATCTAAACTGCTTGGTAAATGTTTCGGTAAAATACTAACACATAATTCGTTCCCAAAAAGGTGAGACTATAACTTATGGACGAACTAATCAGATATAAGATAACAGGTTCAAGGTTTTCGCGAAAATTCATTCATTCACTTGCATTTTAGCTGATGTAAGTTTGTTATGAAAACCCTAAATCTAATTGCTAACCCGAACTGTCAACTTTAATTCATAATCCTAATTACTCTCACTGGTTTATAAACCTCATTTCATCATAGATGGGCAATTTCAATCTCGCTTTAGAGTAGCTCAAGGAAATCCACAAATTATAGTCTAATCATAATCAATACAAGACTACAAACTTCGCTGATTCATAACCAGGTACTCAGCCGATTAAAATAAGCTGGATATCTTTTATGTTGTAGCCCTAAATAAATCCCCAAAATAAATAGCTCTGTAAGTTTTCGACATTGGATGCTGACCACAGTTTTAATGGACTCATCTAGTTGAGGCGCTCGGTCATGCATCCGCACCAGATCACGTGTGGGAACGCCGTGCTCAACATCTGCTGCAATCGCTAGCCAGATTAGTTCAAACGATCCTCGATATATTGATAGCTTATCAAATATATCTTCGAACCTCCTCTCTTCTGTCTTTTGATTTCATTTGGTGGGTGCGCTTCATATTAGAAGGTGTTACTGGTTAAAGCGTTGTCAAACTCTGAATACCTGTGGCATCTTCAGCCTCAAAATATTTGTGGAGTTACTTTGCTGAAGGTGTAAAAACATGGTAGCCAAATGGACTTTAAGCAGACTCAAAACAGGCTACTAAAAGTAGTTTTTAAACCTCTCAATGAAAGTGAGTTAATGCGACAGAATAGATATAAACTAAAGGGGTCATTAGATTTTTGTCCGTAAAGGCTCGACGCACTCGATGTATATGAAGACGAGAGGCCGAATGAACTAAAACTAAGGTTAGATTCTGAAATGAAGAACATTCAGATTATGAACTTATGTGGGGAGTTTTTGACAGAGAATGATGTAGAAACCATTGTGGGTACAGCGCGAAGTCATTTAAGTGGTCCTCAGATCTATTAAACAAATACTTGGAGCTCAACAAGCGGTTTGAGCTTGGTGTACAGATATAATTCACCAAGTCGGATGTAAACGCCGCCATAGATACTTGGTTGACGCAGTTTATAGACAGTGAGGAACTGAATTTTAATCGCTTCACATTACTAAGACTTGACGGAATCCAGAAGCGCAAAATTTGCGTAGTAGCTCCCATTTACCATTGTTGATAAAATTTACCATGAAAGTGGGTCATGTGATTGAACAGTTGCCGCTTGAGATGCAAGGATCGAGAGCTGATGATTGGCCTGATTTATCCCAGTCGAAACTGTGGGGCGATTGAGGTCTCCCTATTCGATTGCAACACTTGGTCATCAAGCGATCGACGTATAATATAAAGAGACTTTAACGTACCTACTGTGAACTGAAAAAATCTGAATATTGAACTGTCAGAAAATTCTTTCGAATGAGAAGTAATCGACGCAGTTATCACATGTGCCCTTGTGCAATATGTGAAAGAAGAAACAAGGTATGACCTGTACTTCAAACCATCCTTGCTAGATCTCATATTGACCCATTATGGGGATGACGCCACAAACGTCCATTATATGCCACCCCTAGGTAAAACTGACCACACAATCCTCGTCTTTGATTTACATATGGTTGTCGATAACTAGTATATGTCAGTTGAAGTCAGACTAAACGTCTGTAAAACGAATACACGAGATGTTATACAGTCAGCATCCTTAGTGGATTGGTCAATAGAGCCAGAGTCCTAAATTGAAACGTTTTGAGATGCATTTAGAAACTTGTACATAAAAGTAACTGGAACGCAATTCCATTGAGCCACACCAAGGGGTTCGAGAAACCCCCCACCGTGGTTCAGTAGAGAGGTTCTCCCAGTTCTCTGTAAGAAAAGAATGTGAGAGAGATTTAAGTTACTGGATACGAAAAAGACAAAATCTCAATATCTGAAAGCTCAAAATATTTGTGCTTGTACCCTCCACAAGTCTAGAAGGTTGTTTAAAGAAAACATGTTAAGAAATCTGTAGAATGCTTTAAATGGTTATACTCGAACATAAATCAAAGGATCACGAAAGGAGGGAATAATACATTGAGAAAGTAGCAATACATTATCAGTGAAGAACTATTGTAGTAGAGCTCATGTATTCTCAAACCACTTTAGCAATGTACACACAATGAAAATGCCTCATTTTCAATCCACACGATGGACTAAAATTTGGCAATCGCCGATAAACTCTTCCAAATGGTGCATGTTGGTCATCAAGGTACAGATACATACACGGTGAATAACAGAGAGCTAGCCTCTGACAGTAGGTTGTTGGAAAAGGTTCAAAGAGCTTCCACTAAAATTTTTCTCGGAATAGTACAACCCTGGATGGTGCTCAACTGGATAAACTAAACCTATGTCCATTGTCATTCAGAAGAATCAGGAGCGACTTGTTCACAGTTTAAAATTAATTGATGATAAGTTTGCATCTGATATGCCCCCCATTTGTCTTGTTTTCCGAAACGGAGAATTTACGTCCACTCTCCCAGAACAAGTTCTCAGTAGTCATCTAAGAGCCAACTTGACATATTTTTAAGGACTAAGAATAG